TTAAAAAGGGTCACCAGCAGCTAGAAGCGATGGTTATGCATTTAGATCAAGAAGTGGCCAGGGTTGATAAAAACACAGAACTTCTCAGTTCAGCTCTGAAGAAAACGGAGAATCATTCAGAAAACAATATTGATATAGTCATCATTCCCACAGCCCCTCTGTACAAGCAGATCCTTAATTTGTATGCAGAGGAAAATGAAATGGAAGACACTTTTACCTGGGCGAAGCCCTGCAGCAGGGAGTAAAAGACCTAGATGTCTTCCTAAAGCATGTGCGTCTTAAAAGCAAGACCCATAAACAGTTCCAGCTGAGAGCACTAATACAAAAAGCAAGAAAGACTGCCAGTCTCAGTGACCTCTTCTGACTTCTCTGATACCAGCTGGAGACTGAGCTCTTCTTAAAGTGTTCTTTACTTCTTTTCTCTTAAAAGTAGGTGCCCAGAATAAGTTATTGCAGTATATCATTCAAATGTAAAGTATTTTGAATCAATAATATATTTTCTGTTTTCTTTTGGTGAAGACTGGCTTTTATTAATGCACTTGCTTGTCTCTGTAAACCCTTTTTGTGTTGAATGAATGTTGGGGCTGACTATGCTAAATAAAATTTGTTGCATTAAAAAAAAGGTGAGGCAGATAGAAAATGGGACACTCACTCTCAACCAACAGCACGAGAATATGCCTGTCAGGACAACTGTCCCCTGGAGCCCCAGCACAGCAGTCAGGCTGGTGCCTCTGGCTTCTGCACCAGCTCAAGAACGGACATGTTTAAGTTACGATATTTATTGATGAATACTGAATATGGACTATCAGAAAAAGGAAATCTTCCTTAGCAGAAGTATAGTCAGAGTAGAGGCAAACTTTACTTCATGTACTTTCAACAAGTTCTAGCAGGAAGAATGAGTTCCTGAGGTTGGCCATCATGCTTGGTAAGAGGGCAGGAGAGCAAACGTGGAAGCCCTCCAACAAGCTGGACTGAACCAAACCAACATGGCAATGATGGTGAAGACAGTGCAGGACTGAGCCACGGGGTCAGAGCCAATTCAGTGGCCCCAAAGCTTCAGTCTCTGCTCCCCCGCCTTTCCAGTCATCTGTCATTCACTGTCCCCTTACTCTCCCTGTTTACCAAAGATTTTTCTAACAAAAGCCTCAGCTGTGCAATCAATTCAGACTGGCATCCCTCCATCAGGTTTCCAAGACTAAGTCACAATGGGAGGAGACAGCCGGTCTGTCTTGAAGCTGCTGGTAGATTCAAACTCACTGGGGACTTGAGACCTTTGTATTAGCAGCTATAGACTTCCTTGTCTTGGGATAAGACTGAATAATTCCTTTTTCAGCAAATTTCTACTGTGGCTGTGAAGTTCTTAACCAAAGAGATATATATCTGGTTTTAAGAGTGGTAATTTAACAGAAGAATGAATATGAACGATAGTGCTTTTATCGGCATCCATGTGCACTGCAGGTAGGTAGGATGTGGTGATATCTAGATACTGGCCTAGTCATCCTCAATTCTGGAATGCCTCTTAGCCACTTCATTTCCCTTGTGGGAAGAATTTTGCATTTTTTCCCCCTGCCTCACTCTACTTCTCCAGAGTACTGAAGAGCAATGATGTCAGTCTGGAGACTCAGGTGCACATGATACAGGCCATGGTCTTCGCAATCACTTGCTATGCATCAGAGAGCTGGACAACGACTAGAGATGACAGAAGAATTAATGCCTTTGAGCTGTGGTGCTGGACAAGCGTTCTGAATATACCATGGACTGCTAAGAGAACAAACAGGTTTATCCAAGAGAGTGTGAAACCAGGCTACTCCTTAAAGCCAAGGATTCTGAAGCTTCGCCTGACATACTTTGGACATGTTGCATGGAGGGACCAGTCCTGGGAGAGGGACATCATGTTTGGGAGGGTGGAGAGAGCAGAGGAGAGGAAGACCCTAGATGAGATGGATTGATTCAGTGACTAGGGTAATGGGGATAGGTGTGTCATAGACAGTAAGATTGCAGAGCAGGGTTTAGGGCTGTTGTACACAGGGTCACTATGACCTCGACAGCACTTAACAACACTCAACTTCAGTAACAGGGCCTGAATAGCAAACCGAGAAAGAAGCAACCATGTATTAAATGCCTCCTGTGGTCTAATCATAAAGAGTTCTGGTGGCATGATGCACTAACCAAAATACAAAACAGGCCTTCTGTCTCTAAGGTTCGAATCCCCCGTCTGCTCTTCAGGAGAGAGCTGGTTCCCTCATTAACATTTACAGCCTCAGCCCAAGATAGGGTCTGGAGGTGTGGGAACTGACTTGACGGCAGTGCGAGTGGTTTTGCTTATGGTCATTGTGCCTTTACACATGTATTGTTAAGTTTTCACAACTTTGCAACACAGATATTCTATTGGTTCTATAAAGAAATGAAGACTTTAAAAAGTTAAATGGCATTTCAAGGTCACAAGACTGGAAGATCTGGGATATGAATCCAAGATTAACCAAAGCCTAGGGTCACTATGGGTTGGAATCGACTGGACAGCAATGGCCTGATTAATTAGTCCACATTCCACGGTACTTAGTTCCTGACCAACCCTGAGTGGACCAAAGAAAACGAAACAAGTACCACTCAAGTCACTCCTCATGCCACTGCTTCCAAAATACCATGCACTCTGTTAGCCAAGGGTGCACTCATTTGCCCTTCTCCACACAGGTATTGATAAGTTACCAACCTAGGGGAATAACTGACATTCTAACAAATATTTTTTTTTTCTGCCACATTTGCAAAGGTAAACTTGAAAAAAGAGCACTTCTCCAAAATTTAACAGTCTCAACAATTCTCAACACTCAGTCTGAATGCTGAAGAAGATTTCATTTTATGTGGAGTAAGATTTCATTTTCACTCAAGAGTGGGAGGGAAATGCAATACACAAGACCCGTGCCTTTCTCCCACCCCACAAAGCATCCACCCAACCTATCAAGACAGTGATGACAATCGAAAGTCAAACATAATTTAAATCAAGAGCACTATATTTTTCATCACTCATTTAATTTCACATAAGCTCCCTCTGGCCTCCCGACACAGTCAGTCCCCATCACGTTGCAATGCTGGTCCTCTCTCCAGTTATAGGGATGATGGAAATGGACTGGTTGTGCTCTAAAGGGACTTTCAGAGGGAAGCCCAAGGTTTGAAGTTGGTTTCAGCTCCACCAGGCTATCGATGCTCTGCCCTGGCACAGGAGAAAAAGCCACAACAGAGCTGCCAAGCACGTGGCCAATTTTCTCTTAGAAAAGCTGCCTGCTTCCTGACTTATCACAAGGTGCTTCAATATCTACCCAGACTACTGCATCTATGAGGAGCAAGAGTTCAATTCTATCAGAAGAGATTTAACAGGTCTGCCCAGGCTCTCTCCCACTGTGGCTGGGCTTTGAGTTCCTGTTGAGCACTGAATGCTAACCTCAGACTTACCATCAAGCTTTCTACACAAGTGTCAACATGGCTTCAGGGCTCGTCAGCATTTTCATTTAGGCTGTGCCCCTGAACCCAGTCAGGCCTCTCAGCCATCTTTCCATAGCTCCATCTCAACTGACCACAGAACTCCAGGAGCCATTAAAGCAGGGCAGTCTTTCTTTTCCCAGAATGAAACCAGGTAGCAGAGTTTCCTGCTGATACGCAAGGGAGACAACTACAGTAATATGAGACACGGTGGATTCCTCTATGCCTCACTGCTAAATAATTAAGGACCAAAACAAACACCCTTAAAACAAACAAACAAAAAACCCCACCCAAAAACTAAATAAAGGGACTGCAGGAGCTGCCCAAAGGGCAAGCAGCCAGGGAAAAGTGGAGAGTGGAGTTCAGGAAAACCACCTTTCTAAATCAAACTCTTCCCCCTTTATGCTACCTGGGCTAAACTCTGCACTATGAGAGAAATAGAACTTCTGGTTCATGTGACTCCTATTAAGATTTCTATATGTACAGATCAGTCAGTCAACATTCACTGAATGCTCACTGATTAGTGAGCCTAGAGGAAGGAGGTAGATTTAGTTATGAGTGTAAGAGTTTAGTCAAAGGCCTGACTGGAAGAGCACTCCATATTAATGAGTGCTCCTGAAAACCAATCGCCAAGTCACTGGCCTCCGTGTGCCCCAGCAACCCCCGATCTAGACCCCACTAATCAGAGGTAATCAAGAGACAAAACATGCATGAAACTTCCTCTGAGTTGTGGGGAAATCACAGCTCCTACTTTCTCTCGAGATTGTGCCCCACTGATACATGGGTAGAGTTGAAGAGCAACTGGAATTATATGGACCGTTTAGTTGGAAAAAATGGGAAATTCATAAAAGTCCATAGAGCCTCATCTTTTTTTTAAAAAAAAAGTTGAAGAGATGACATCCATGGAGATAGAAGCCTAGAAGGGTGACTATGTAATGATGGATGTCAAAGCAGGAAGACCTAGGGCTATTGAAAAAAGGACAAATGGAAGCCGTAAAGTCTCTGACTAGGACGTGTGCACAGTTGATAGAAAATATGTTTTACTGGGGAAGTATCAAGGTTTCTGAAAACCGTTTAAAACACACTAGAGAAAGGAATGAGAACCTGAGATTATCAAAATCTTCAGGGGAATCTCAATTACAGAACAAAGGATTTTAAGCCAAAATTTGTTTGTTTTCAGCTCGAGTTAGAACCCAATTACTTCACAAGGCCTCAAATAACCCACACATGGCTCTCTGAAGGTAGAAACCAAACCCTGCTTTATAAGGCTTCTTGACCATCACTGGTTTTTCTGTTGAGATATGAGGTGCCAGCAAAGCAACAGAGGGTGAAACCCTCACCTCTGTCCATCTCCACTATCCCTCCAACTCTCAGATACTCTCAGTGTGCAACTCAGCCATCTCAAAAAATACTCTGATGAGGGCAAGATGGAGAGGACAGGGATGGGGATGTGCAGGCAGCCAGCAGGTCCCTATGAGGTAGCTAACAGCAGTGCTCCTAGAGCAAGATTTATGGACAGAGGCCAGTCATGGGCTCACAGCAGCAAGGAGGGAGTCACTGGATGACTGGGACATGGAGGAAATAGAAAGTCTTGAAGTCTGCCCAGAGTACTTCATCAGAGGTAACATCTGCGTAGAGAGGCTGGGCTCTTTGCTGGTGTCCTCACTGTCCTTTGAGGAAGTAGATTTCCTGGGAAACCGAGAAAGGCCAACTGGAATCTTCCTGGGCTTGGGGATGGCTCTGTCTTCAGAGAGTGGTAGACTTCTTTCTGAGGAGCTGTGTTTTCTGAGGGGAACAAACAGATGGTTGAGGCACTGTGTAGCTGAGATCTTAACTTAAAATCTGCCTTCAAAGTCTGGGCCAGACACAACATTATGGTGTTATGGAAAATAACTACAGGGATTTAAAACTATCGTAGAAGACGCTGTATTTACGTGAAGGCTAGAGAGCTTGAATGCAAGTGTGACTATGTGAGGATGGGAGCACGCGGTGCTCCTACAGGCAGGTGGAAAGTGGCTGCTTCACCAGGTTATCTGGGACTGAGACTCAGCTTCACTGGGTAAACTGAGAGTCCCCAGGAAGACAACATTGTGGCTGCATATTCTAGCACCCTCACTATCTCAAGCCCCAATCTTGTTGCTATAAGATGGGAAGAGAGGATGAGAATTCCCCAAATCCCAACCTCACACTCCCCTCGTCCAGGCGGCACTCACTCCAGATTGCCAATTTCAGATTTGCAGAAGGCATTCAGTGTCATATCATCCTTTGGGGCAGTCAGAAAAGATGCTGGGAGAGACCACTAAAAGCAAAGAAAGCAATGAGGCATTAGGTCAAGGCAGAGGTCAGGCAGGGGTTCTTTTTCAGCTTTGCCTCTGGGGATCGTGGGCCTCTCCCCTCCTCTGGCCTTTGTGCCTGGATTCTTATGGGGAGAGTCTTGTTTCTCAGACAAGTCTTGGAGTCAGACAAGAAAGAGGCTGCAAGGAACTTTTTGATCTTGAAAAGCAGCCAGAGAATCCTTGAGGCAATTATTCCCTTAACAGAGAAGGGAAAGGAGCCACAAAGGCAGGGCCTGAAGAATGAGAAGTCTGTCCCAACAACCCAGCCATGCTGCAATCTTAAGGTGGAGCAAGCAGGGGTGTGCAATGATTGGTCACCTCCTGAACCGGCATCACTCACCACTGGCGCAGAATCAGAGACCACTCCTGTGTGGAACCCTTTGTAGCACCAACTCCGAAGGAGGTCTACTCCTAGGACAAGAAAAGAGGGGTGAGGCTTAAGGGGGCTAACTTAACAAGCAAGCTCATTCTTTGGACTACAGGGAACTCTCTGAACATGACTTCCTGAGCCAGGGAAAGCACATTACCTTTGAGCTTGTTGTTATGGTACTTTTGCTCCCACTGTGTGGTGAGAATGTTGAAATACCGTGGCTGCTCAAAAAAGCGGAGATAGCGAGTGGAAATCCGAGAAGGAAAAATTCGTTCAAACTGACCTCAGCGAGAAAATTCATCCTCCATCTCTACCAGAACCCGAACATCATCTGGTGTCAGGACATCTAGCACAGATGCATAGAAGTCCTGTGGCCCAAAGAACAAGGAGGAAGACAGTGCAAAGAGGATGGTAAGCCAGAGGCAGAGAAAACTGCTGGGGACAGAAGCCCAGCCCTGGGACCCAAGGACGCCAAGGCTCTTGAGGTGGCCCATCCCTGAACCTCTATGTCTTCTGAACTTAGCTAGTGAAGAAAATGTTCTGTGGGAGTGGGATGGTCAGAGGACACAGAAGTGGTCTGTCGAATAGTCAAGATCAGTACCCAGCAACTCAGATGTGGCACCAGGTGGCACCAGATTGCGTTCTGACACTCTTTTGTCTGTTCTGAGGAACCACCCTCCCTGGGGTTGCAGTGCACTGCTCAAGGATGAATCCCAAAAGGTAAAAGGTCTACAGATTTTTGCTAAGGACAGTGCACTATGAAAAGGTGACTTGGACTGTCAGTTCTTTCCTCTGAATCAAAGGGATTGCAGATCTGGTTCTTAAGAAACCCTGTTCGAGAGCAGGAAAGTTGCTTTGAGGTCACAGCTGTTTCAGAGAACTTTCCACTACTTTGCATTTCCACTACTGTGGATGAACGCTGTTCCTACCTGATCAGGTATTTTCTGGGTCAGATAATAGGCTTTCTTCATATTCTGTGCAGTGAAGTGCTCTGGAGCCATTCGGTATCTGTCCTTGGGGCTGCTGGTCAGGCTAAGTGGGTGGAAAGAGAAGAAAGAATAAAGCCAGCAGTTTGACATTCTAGAGGGACGGTCCAGCCCATAAGGCTCCTTCACTAGAGATAAAAAAAGACATGAATAAATGTTTATGACCTGAGTAAATCAAGACTAAAATGCACTCACTCGATCAGCCTGAAAACCAAAGCTCTAGTACCATGGAAGAACTAGGTACAAGGCATCTTCTCTTGGCTGCACTGGAATGATAACTGCAAACACTCCAGTTGAGTTCAACTTAGCGAACACTTTCTAAACACTCAGTTCTGACCTACTGGCCCTGTGACCTACCCTCCCCTTCCAACTCAGCTGCATCCACCACACTACTATTGGTATTACTAAGAGAGATACAAAGATGACTGAGAAGCACCCCCTGCTTCCAAGAATTAAGTCAAATGACAGCCTCAGCACAGGACAAGGCCAGGTCTACAGAGTAGAGTAAGGAAAGCAAGCTCTGTCATTAGGCAAACCAAGACTTACATTTTACCTCTACCAGCCAAGTGATACCGGTATGTGAATGGTTCTGGGTATGGAGGAAAGAAAGCACACTGAGGAGGCTTTATGATGCTACTGCCTTGAGCTTGGCTTTGGTGGATGGGTGAAATTACACCAGGTGGCTCTGCCTGAAGGATTATTTCAGAAGGAAAAAAAATTCTACAGGCATAGGAGAGGGTATGGGTGGGGGGGAGTAATCGGCAACAAATGGACTGATTCTCAAAGAGCTTTTTTTTTTCTTTTAAAAAAAAAACTCTGTGTGTGTGTGTGTACACCGTCAAATAGGATCTGACTGGTACAGGAGGAGATTGACCCTCCTTATCCAGAAAATCATCTGGTGGATTCAAACCATGTATCTCTGGGATTGCAGTGTAGCTTCTTGACACTAGGCCACCAGAGCTCCCTAAGACTTTTTCAACCCTGAGGCTCTAGGAGTGACCAGGTTTGTTGGAAGACCAAGGGACAGAAAGTTAAATAAAAAGAGGCAAGCATTAGAAGGGAGGCTGAGTTTCACATGTGTGGCTAAGGAGTTTACATCGACTATCCAGGTCCTGTGGGGATTCCTAAGCAAGGGACCAAGATAATCAAGCAAGCTTTAACAGCACCAACAGGGCAGGGGGTGTGTGGATGGATGTTGACACTGAGTGTAAGAGACACCAAGCAGTATTATCATCAAATAGTCCTGGTAGCATGCACCAGTCATGACCGGCCTATTCAGGGAAGCAGAGAGGCTGACCTGGTGGCAGAGCTGCTGGAACTGCCAGAACTGGAAAGTGTATCCTCTGCAGAGGGCAGAACAAAACCTGCCAGGTTCAGAAGGTCCCGGATCATCTGGCCTTTGATGCTGATGTCCAATGGAGAGTTCGAGTGGAGGCTTAGAGGAAAGAGGACAAAGACTGGTGAAGACGAATTCCAGCCAGTTGTCAGTGCTAACCCCAGTGACTCTCTGGATTCCTTAGATGAAAAAGTGTCAACTATCCAAATTCAGGAGCACAATGATGGGGGATTTCAGGCCCCTAAGAGTTAATAACCTCATCCAATGAGGTACCTGCTCATGAACTTGGTGTGCTAGGCAAAGGCAATCAATAAGGCTCATATTTTCAAAGAACAATTTTGAACAAACTCTCTTCATTTTTGGCACACAGTTCAAATTCACCAGTTGCTCTGCTGGAGAAGGATTGTCAAACTCCTCCCGTGAGATTCACTGCCTCTGAAACCCTGTTGCAGGGTCAGCTATGAGTCAGTTCCAACTTGACAGCACGCAGTAACAATAGCTTCATCCTCAAAGAACTTTGGCAAATGGGAAAGTAAATGAATAAACTGATGCTGGAACACGAATGGGAACTGAACCATGAGGCTACAGGAAAGGTCCTACTGTCAACTCCTGGAGAATATGGCCTACCTAGGGGAAATGTTGACTTCCAGGACCCAGGGCTTGAGGTTCTCGTCGAGCATGACATCGAAACCAAAGAGCTCGTGGCAGCTGTAGGGCCGCCGCACATACATCTTCAGCAGGCTGGTTACATAGGGCTCTGACCTGATCAGTGGGATAAGTATTCAGCCATCTCTTCCAACAGAGCCATGACCACAGCCCACTGAGTGACCCATGGGTGAGAGACCAGAAGCAGCCCAGGAAAACCAGTTCTCAAGAGATGCCTGTGATCTGGGCTAGCTCCAGTGGCTAAAGCTCAAGAAAGTGGTAGAATAGAACCGCTGTATGGCCACAATCAGACCTAAGGCACTGGGGAGGCCAAGGGAAAAGGAGGTGGTTCCCTGGCAGGCCCCACACCCAAGATAGAACTGTGACTCACGAAATTATAGTTTTGACAACAACATCTTTTATCTTCTCCCAGATGATATCACTATTGATTCCCTTCTCACTCAGGTAGTTCCATAAAGCCTTCAGTGCCCTGCAGAGGGAAGGAGAAAGAGTGCTGAGGTTAAATACCAGGAATGAGAGCAGGAGGCCTGTAGGTGTTCCCTTTATATCTCTTCCTTGAACGGTTTAGTAAAGAGATTAACCTGGATGTAGACCAATTCTGAATTACCAAGTGCTTATGTAATTCTTAGGTCTTCTATTAACCCTCCAATCACCATTCCACTGAACTTCCTCAAGCCCCAGAACCTTATGTTTCCCTAGGCCTTCGCTTGAGTGGAACACCCTGCCCCCAATACCATTTGTGGCCTTGGCAGGCCGTTTCATCTGCATTGGCTTGGTACTCAACATTCTTTTTATTGACACTGTAGTTGGTCAAGTGCATGAACTTGTTGCCAAGGCTCTTCATGGAAGGAGAATACCTGAAGAAAAGCAGAAGTAAGATGGTGAGATCGTCACTTATCAATCAAGCTGATCTCAAATCACAGCAACCCTAAAGGACAGAGGAGAACTGCCCCAAAGGGCTTCTAAGGCTGTAAATATTAACTGAAGCAGAATGTCTCATCTTTGTAACATAGAAAGGATGGTGCGTTCAAACTTCCAACTTCTCAGCACCCCAATAGTCAGTTAGCCCTCTGAAACACAAATGCTCCTGAAACACCAGTTCGAAATGAGCCATTTTCCTAAGCCCTGAGGAAGGAAAAGCCAAGCAGACAGGTCTTTTCAGATCTCTGAAAGCCTGAGGAGTATGTCTAGTGACAAGGCTCCTGATTATCAGTTACACTCATCGCCTTAATTCAACCTCAGTACAGGCCAGAACACTGAACATTCAGTGAGGCAGTGATCTCCTAATACAATCTCAGTACAGGCCAAATTATCCTTCAGTGAGGCAGTGAATCACTTCATTTTCCCTTCCTAATAAAGCTTTCAAAACATGTGTTCTCTCTTTGTTGGTTGTTCACCTTGTCATTGTTTGAAGAAATAATTCTTCAAAGCTATCAGGGTGACACTGCACCATTACTACCTACTTGCAACTGGCAAAGCGGACGAGACCATCTGAAAAGAGGTAAATTCGTAGAGGATCATAGGAAGTGACGTAAACATAGATCCGCAGATCAAACTTGCTGCCGCTGATGAGGTAGG